CTCTTCCTTGAATATTTGACATCTTCATGCTAGTAACCCGCCAGCCATTGTTATTTTCAAGCAACCAACAAGAAGTCAAGCGTAGATCCTCGATCTACACAACCAACTATAAGTCTTTAATTTTTCGTTGGAAAACCTCCATACTCTCATTTACATAATTCAGCGTCATTACTAATTCGAAATGGGTTTTTAGACAAACATTTATTTCGAAACTTCCTGAAACGTTCCACTGTATATGGGAAGTTGATATCAGCCACATGCACAGATTCAGTCAGATGTTACCAAATCCTACACAAAGCATCCTCCCATGTGGTCCCCGTTCAATCCCTAGAGGTCCTCTTTCCCATATGATTTCTACCCGCTGGAGCAAATTATTAGAGCAAGTCCACGGAGTGGACTTTGCCCAGGACCCAGCACAAAAACAAGGCCAGCACCTGTCAACCAAGTCCACCCCCTCAACTTGACTGGTACCCAGCCCGAGCTGGGCTCTGGACCAGCCCAAAAGAGACTGAGCAAGAAGCCGGGTTGTTGGCCTGGTGCGTGCGCTTCACGGAGGCGTGGCTCGAGTGTCCAACAGGATTTCGGAGCGCGGGCCCGCGTGACAGGCGCACTCAGTCCCCCCCCTGAGTTGGCGACGTGGCTCCCTTTATGCCGTTGGATTTCCAACGATAAAAAAAATTTAAATTTTACTTTTAAAATAGACCATCGGATCAAAGATCAACGGTCCACGTTTTTTCACAAAAAAGTAAAAAAAAAAAAAAAGGCCCAGCGGTCAGAAATATGACCGTTGGCCACGTGGCAACTCCCTGGCTCTTGGATTTGAATATTTTTCAAATCCAACGGTCCAGATTAATTAACTATATTAAAATTCATTAAAAATTATTAAAAAACACAGAAAAATTATTAAAAAATACAGAAAATTTTGAAAAATAGGTATTTTTTTCCTATAAATACCTAACCCTCATCTTCCATCTTTACACCACATTTCAATATTTTCTACACTTTCTATACTATCTACATTTCAATATTTTCTACACTTTAAGAGAAAAAAATGTCTTCGTGGAAGCTCATTGAAAATATTACGTTGTGTGAATGTTGGGTTCACACTACTCATGACCCAATTACGGGTAATGAGATGGATAAGCCAGAAATGTGGAGTAAAATTACGAAAGCATTTTGCGATGTACATGGAAAAGACACCAGAACAAGTCAAGGTCTTCAAGGTCGTTGGAAAAAACTCAACGCATCCTTTACTTGTTGGAAAAATGCCATCTCTCATGCTTCCAGTAACCTCCGTAGTGGGACAAGTTTAGCGGATCAGGTGACAATATTTTTATTTATTTATACGCATTCCACCCACATCAATATTTTGATTTATTTAATTTCGTATATAATTTTTATGTTATTTATGTAATTTTTATATGCATTCCATCCGCATCAAAATTTTAATTTATTTAATTTCTTATGTAATTTTTATTTAATTTCTTATGTCATTTTTATGTAATTTATATGCATTCCACCCGTATCAATATTTTGAATTTATTTATTTGTGTTACACCCGCATTTTTTAACACTATGTTATCCCACCTTTTTATAGACACTACAAGCTCAAGGATTCTACAATTCAAAGAATGGGAACAAATCATTCACTAGATGGGAATGTTGGCAAATTGTCAAAGATTGCCCTAAATACAAAATTGTGGCAACTGGTCTAGAAGTTGTCATGCACGGTATGGGTCTACATAGTTCTCCAGAACCAGACATGGCCGAACAAGAAGTCGACACATTTCAAGACACAGAAGGGATGCCTGAACAAGTGCCCGAGACCCAACCGACTCGTCAGTCCCTCAGGCCTCAAGGTAAAAAGGCGTCAAAGAAAAAAGGTAGTTCTTCAAAAAATGATTACACTAAATATATGGAGGAACTTGCTCGCCAAGGTGAACTGAACATGGCACGGGAAAAGGCTAGAGATGAGGAAAAAGTTGCTGCTATGGCAGCAATATTAGCAGGTACTGAGGCCCGTGATGCGACGGCTGAGAGACAAAGAGAAGTAGTTAATCGAGAGAACGAGCTGGTTAGAGAAGCACTTCTTCGAGAAAATGAAATGCTTAGAGAAAAAAGGATGGCTCAAGCAAATCGTGACACTATGAGCAAGTCTCTAGTAGGACTGTCTCCGAATTCTAAATATTTTTGGACATTGGAAAAAAGAGATGTCATGCGAAGGAGGCGTGCAAGAGATGCGGAAACAAGTCAAGGGGGTTCTAGCTACATAAATCATGGCAACCAAGATCCTAGCACCACATATCCTAACTCGAGAGACTTTGTATAATTTTTATGTAATTTCTTATGTATTTTTTATGTTTTTTCTTTCTTTTTTCTTTTGAACTTTATTTAATTTCTTATGTAATTTTTATGTTTTTTCTTTTTTTAGGTTTGAACTTTATTTAATTTCTTATGTAATTTTTATGTTATTTCTTATTTATTTTTAAAACTTTATTTATTTTATTTAATTTATTATGCAATTTTAATGCAATTATTTATTTATTTATTTATTTTTAAAACTTTATTTCTTTTTTACTTTATTTAAACACATGAAATAAGATTACATAAACTCACCAAATAAACTTAAAAACAAAACACACTACATAGAATTACATAAACTCACCAAATAAATAGAATTACATAAACTCACCAAATAAACTTAAAAACAAAACACACTACATAGAATTACATAAACTTAAAAAAAATACAATTTATTCTTCAACCACAAGCCTCATTCTAATTATCTTCGCCTTCATGCAATCCCCACTGGTGCTCAATCAAATCATTCTGGCAGGTTACGTGCCAATATGGCTCTTGCACATTAGTGTACCGCTGAACGATCAATTCATTGTAACGTCCATCGCGTTCCAACGGCTCATGTTGCACTGGATCTTCGGTCCGGTCATGAGCACAATAGATACGTGTTCTTGAGTTGTTCATCGGATCCAGCTCATATTCATCGACAGCATCATAATCATACTCATTTCAACAATCATGTTGTGGAGAATAATACACGTCATCATGATGGATCGAAGAGCCTCGACATCAAACATTCTAGCTGTAACCCTGATAATCGCCCAACGAGCTTGCAGGATACCAAAACAACGCTCGACATCCTTCCTACACCCTTCTTGACATTTTGCAAAGTGTTTTTCCTTTTCAGTCTGTGGATGTGGCACTGTTTTGACAAATGTTGACCACCTTGGGTAAATGCCATCTGCAAGGTAGTATGATCCCTCGTATTGGGTACCATTAACCCAATATGTGTATCTCGGCGAGTTTCCTTGCAGCAGTTCGTCGAACACTGGGGATTAGGCAAGGACATTTAGGTCATTCTGAGCTCCTGGAACACCAAAAAAAGCATGTCAAATCCATGTATCAAATGAAGCCACCACTTCCAAAATGATGCTTTTGGCTCATTTTCTGTCGCCATATGCTCATTGCCACGCACTTGGACAGTTTTTCCAAGTCCAGTGCATGCAGTCAATGCTTTCAATCATGCCAGGGAAGCCTCGCATCTCACCATTCCTCAGAAGCCTTCGCATGTCCCTTGGCGTAGGTGTCCGGAGTTACTCATTGGTGTAGAGGGCTTCAATTGCAGAGCAAAACCGCATCAGGGATTCCAGAACAGTTGTTTTTCCCATCCTCGCGATCTCATCCACTTGATCTGCAGATGCTCCATATGCAAGCATTCGCAAGGATGCCGTAATTTTTTGCTTGGGAATAAGACCTAGAACATGAAAAACATCTTCTTTTTGCACAAAGTATGGATCATGGTTGCAAATATCACTCATGATTTTGTTGAACAAATTTCGTTGCATTCTAAAACGCCGTCTAAAAATATGATCAGGGAATATGCTATTGGGAATAAAATAATCTTCCTATAGATTTTTACCTCGTTTTTCCCTTTTTCTATCGAGGTTTGCAACACGTCTTGGTTTGGCTATCTGATTCATGGCTTCCATGACACGGCGGGAATGTAAGGCCTTCTGCCTTCTATGGTGATCATCCTCATCCTCCTCCATGAAGAAAGCCTCATCTCCACCTCCACCTTCCTCGAGATTGGCCAATTCTGCCTGTTGTGCCAACAACCTTTGTTGTTGCTCCTGCAACTGTTTATACACCCTTCTTGAAGAAGACATTGTAATAAGAACTCAAGATTTGAAAACGATGAACAAGGATTATGAGCTAAAAAGAAGGATTGAGCTTGGTGTGAGGATGGATGTAGGGATGTAGGGTTTATATGGACAAAAAAAGAAAGGATGAGGTTCTGGACAATGCCACGTGACACTACGTGATTGGTTGAAAATCTTATCGAAATGTTGGCTAAATTATTGTAAACCGGAAATGACATGTGGCGTGTCGGGATTGGTCGAAAATATTATTGGAAATCTATCCACAAAATAGTACGTTCGAATAATGACATGTGGCATGACGTGATTGGTTGAAAATCTTATCGAAATCTTGGCTAAATTATTGTAAAATGGAAGTGACACGTGGTGTGTCGGGATTAGTTGAAAATCTTAGCGGAAATCTATTCACAAAATAGTACGTTCAGATAATGACACGTGGCGTGACGAGATTGGTTAAAAATCCTATCCGAAATTCAAACTATTTTATTTTTTTATTCTTTTAGAAAAAATTTAAAAATATTTTAAATGGGTTGGGTGCCAGCGCATTTTGTAAGGGTGGAGATCGTTTGTGCCAACGCATTTTTTCACTGGGTGCCAACGCATTTTTTAAAGGGTGGAGATGCATTGACCTATTACTGTTCATTTGAGTCTGTTACTGTTCACTGGAGTGGATAAATGAGCTGGGTGCTGGCATAAAGTCCTTAGGGGTGGACTTGCTCTTAGAAAATATGTTTGAATTTAGGTTTTGAAAAAAAGTTAAGGTTCTACCATAAAATTTATTGGTAGCATGAGGAGTAATTCAACTTCTTATAAGTCCTTACAATGTTTCTCCTTTCACTAATATGGGGATCTTTTATTTTCACATTCTAACACGCCTTGTCATATGTGTCTAATTTTTAAACCAAATATATGGATAGGGCTGGGTTCGGTTTTTATCGGTTCGGTTTTTTGCCAAAACCGAAACCAAACCGAAATTTTGGTTCGGTTCGGTTCGGCCCAAATTTTTTTCGGTTTTTTTCGGTTCGGTTTTTTCGGTTCGGTTTCGGTTTTTTTTCGGTTTTTTTTTTTCCTCCAAAAAATGCAAAACAAGCACAACATAATATAGAAATAGAAAATATGACATGTTTCCAACGCCGCCTCCTCCTCCTCGACCGTACGGCTCTGCTTCTTCTTCACCTCATCCGAATTCTTCTCCAACGCCGCCTGCTCCTCCTTTTCGAGATCCTTCTCCTCCAGATCCGCCAATCCGCGGGCCTCGGACAAATAAATTCACAAAGCCAACAAATAAATTCACAAAGCATATTCAACAAACTAAAGAAATAAAAACTATTAATCAATAAATAAAAAAACTACCATTTTCAGCACTCAAAGAATTAAACAAGAAAATGAAAAAAAAGGAAGAAATTGAATACTTACTGTTAAAGAAATCCGGAGGAAGGAGAGCTAAAGATCCATGTTACAACCATGGACTTGGCACGTTGGAAAGAGGAAGAGAGGAAGGAGAGTTGAAGAGAGGAAGAGAGGAAGAGAGGAAGAGAGGAAGGAGGGAGAGAGAGACTGAGGAATGAGGGAGAGAGAGCAGCGGATGAGGGAGAGAGAGACTGAGAATGAAAACTCAAAAATGAGTGACGGCTGCTAGGGTTTGTAAACTTAACAAATTTTATAAAGCATTAGCGATTAGAATACCTATAAATTATATACTGGTACAGATATAGCAACAACAAGCCTACAGTCAAGTTGGCTTGAAGGAATTATCCCTCCTGGACGGAAGGGGTTCGATTCTTCATAGCAGCAGGTTTTAAGTATTTATATTTAATTTTAAGTTAAAAGGTTTGTTGATTGCTAAAAAAACTAAAAAACTTTTCTGAAACCCTGGAGGCAGGAGGATTCGAACCCATGCGCAGGGACTTGAAAAGTTTCAAGCAAACCAACTTGGTAACAGGTTATGTCTTGTTATGATTGTATCACTAAATTATTTATAATATTGAAAAAAATTAAATATATATATCTGTTCGGTTCGGTTCGGTTTGGTTCGGTTTCCGAACCTTAAAAACCGAAACCGAACCAGCCAGATTCGGTTCGGTTTTTTTCGGCCTCGGTTCGGTTTGGTTTTCGATTTTTTTCGGTTTTCGGTTATTTGAACCCACCCCTATATATGGACAACACGAATTAGGTGACGCTGAGCACCTGTGGCAGTTGGGCTTGACACGTTAAAACAACATGCTCTCATATCATAAAGAAAGTTGAGGTCCACCAAAAAACCAATTGACAATATAAGGAGTAGCTCAACCTCTTATAGGCCTTACAATATTTCTCCTTTCACCAATATAAAACTTTTTTACCTTCACATACTCATAATTTCGAGGGCCTCTGTTTTCTGCTATTAGTTTCTCAAAAGTATCATATACTCTTTAAATAACTACGTACCTCTACATTTTGTAATTTGAAGAGGGTCGCTGATGCTGAGTAGTGAGTTGTTTGGCCAGAAGGACATGCAAATGCAATCATCAATAAGTAAAACTTTAATAATTAATAGCAAATCGAGCAATTACTACAGCGGCACCGAATATGGGTAAAGCCGCCCACCCTCAGTGATCTGTTTTGTTCAAAACACGTTTGACGTTTTGCACTGCTCTATGTAGCTTGCAAGTTGTACTCGGTACAGTTCATAGGAGGCAGACTCTCTGCCCTTCCACTTTTAGTACCTTTCTGTACCTTTATGTTTTATGTGGTCATGGTTAAGTCATGTTAATATTTTATATTATTTTTTTATAGAGATAATAAGATAAAAATAAATAGTAATATAAAATATTGACGTGATTTAACCGTAACCACACAAACAGAAGAGCACGAGAGAGCACGAAAAGTGGAAGGGCGTAGAATCTGCCTCCCAGTTCATATACTAACTCGATCTGGTATGTCAGATATATCACTGCTGCATGTCCACGTTTATGTATTCATCGATATTTGGGAACCTTGCTCGGTGCATTAACATAGCATGTTTCTATTTTATTTTGGAAGAAATCGAAGACTAAACCTATATTAATCATAAATCTAACCTATTACATTATCCTTCTTCATCGCTTACCAAACCTGAAGCTGTCTGGTACGCATAAAGGATTTTAAGGGAAATGAGTTTCCATGTCTTTTCGTATGGGAATGGAAATGAGCATTTTTTTAACAAATAATATGATCTATATTAAAAGAGTAGGAAAGTAGGTTAGCAATAATTTGTTTCAAATTCGCTTTTAACAAGAATTGAACTTTAACACTTTTAATTGTTAACAAAAACACATTTGTCATAAAAAAATTCAACGTTTTATTGGTTTACATGAGAAAGGAAAGTGAATACTAAAAAGCTGAAGGGCTTTAATTTCCCTCCTATTTTTTTATCGTTGGTCCGGTGATTTTGCGGATGGTTGGGACTAGGGGTGGGCGCGGTGCGGTTTGGTGCGGTTTCGAATGAAACCACAACCGAAACCGAAACATTTTGCGGTGCGGTGCGGTGCGGTTTTGAAGGCAAAACCGAAATGAAACCAAACCGTTCGGTTCGGTGCGGTGCGGTTTCAAACGGTTTCGGTTTGGTTTATAAGAAAAAAAAATGTACAATTTAAAATATACACCTATTTATGCATAAGACGGTCTTATTTTTCTCGTATATTAATTAATGAATATGCAGTAAAATTGCAGCAAAACTGCATAAAAAACACAGCAAAAACTGCACAAACTGCACCAAAACTGCACAAAACTGCACCAAAAAATAATGCAGCAAAACTGCATTAAAAAACAGCACCAAAACAGCACCAAAAACTGCACCAAAACAGCCCCAAAACTGCACCAAAAAACTGCACAAAACAGAATCAAAAATCTGCACCAAAAGTGCAGCTAACTTGTACCAAAACTACAACAAATGACAACTACTAAAATTGAGACAACATCCAATGCATCAAAGGATTTAAACTTTAAATCCTTATGCATCACATCTATTAAAATTGAACTTGATCACCAATCACAATACTTTACAATCCAATTGAAAGGTTAAGTTTGCCATAATACAAACCTATAAGTTATAATCTAGTTGAAAAGTTTAAAATATAAGTTATATAACATTTATTTATTATATGGTGCGGTTTCGGTTTCAGTGCGGTTTTGAAAACCCAAAACCGAAACCAAACCGTTTTGTGTGCCGCGGTTTGGTTTTGAAACCGAAACCATTTCAAAACCGCAAAACCAAACCGTTTGGTGCGGTTTGATTCGATTCGTGTTTCGGTTTCGGTTTTCGGTTCCAAGTGCCCACCCCTAGTTGGGACGAGGGAGACGAGTCAACAGTGGTTTTCTTCTTGGCTTGATTATTTTTGTATGTTTATGTCGCTTAGCGATTTGTAGGGCTGGAAAAAAATCCCAAAAATCCAAAACCAAACCAAAAAAATCCCGATCCCAAACCAAAAAAATCCCAAACCAAAATTCCCGAAATTTTCGGGATGTCATCCTGAACCAAACCGAAATTTTCGGTATGGGATTCGGTACTGCATCTCCATTTTTCGGTATTCCCATACCGAACCGAAAAAAAATTATATATATATTATTTTTTAATTGTAAGAGAATTATTTCAACCATTGATTATTTTGGATTTAATATGTGCCGTTGATTTGTTTTTAGGTCAGATCCAAATGGTACTCTACTCTTTCCGTTCATTTGTTTCCATCCATCGAAGTCTCGAAACGCAGCCCTCATCTCTCATCTAATCTCTCATCGAACTCGAAGTCACTCTCACGGTCTCACCTCACCCCAAATTAGGTAATTAATTTAGTGTTTTGAAACCTAATTTCTGTCTTCCTTTTGAAATTTAATTTAGGGTTTGAATCTTGAATCTTAATTTCTGTCTTCGTTTTGAAACCTAATTTCAATCTTGAATCTTCCCTTACTGGTTTCAATTTTGAAGAGTGAATGTTTTTATGCGCTGCATGTTTGCAGGATTACCAGATTGCTGCGGCTACCAGGATTACCAGGTTTATGCGCTGCGTGTTTTTTGCAAGTCTCATCCTCTCCCAAATGAAATTGGTATGTAGAAGGGATGTATGGGGAGAAAATGCAATATCTTTCGATGTTTGAATAAATACGACAAAAAATTTGATTGAGTATCAGTGAAAAGCTTGCAGTAGGATCATCTTCAGATTGTGAATATGTGTGTTCTACGTTTAAATACTCTATTGAGTCCCAACTGCTTACCTGTACATAATGCATTATGCAGTGGCTCCCCAGAGACAGAGCATTGTGGATGGAATGAGGATGATAGCACTCAAACTTGAATTTGGTGTATCTCACAATCAGATATTTGAGAGGTATTTTTCTTTTATTTTGTTCTACTTTTTGTTCTTATCTTTCAAAATTGTAGATGTCTTTTATTGATTATTAATTTGTGCAGGACCCTAGCAGTGCATTTTACAGATCCTTTCCATGTGAGCAAACGGGTTGCAGATAAATGCAATGATGGTACTTTGCTTCTCCAGGTATGTGTGATATGGTTTTCAAAACTACACTTCTGTATGTAACTTTACTTATGCATCCCTGGCTAGGTGATTAGATAATAAGACGTGAAGTGTGTGACATCCTATTCCTATGTGTTGAAACATGGAATTGTTTCTGTTTCACCAGATGGGAAACTCACTGATGGGGGTCTCAAGTTTTTAAAGAAAGTTCGTAGCGGAGTATGTTCTTGACTTTTGTCAGACTTATTTTTCTATTTCCGTCAACTTACTTTTAAAATTGATGTATGTTTTTACAGCTGTTGGATATTAATCACTTACTTTCTGATGCAGGGTGTTGATCCAAGTATTCGAGCTGAAGTGTGGCCGTTTCTTCTTGGAGTGTAAGTATTTTCATATCTATGCGATTGCTTTAATGCTTCAAGTTTTGTATGTGTTATATGAAAATTAGTTAGTATATGATTTTCAAATTTTCACCCTGGTTTTTATTTGCTTTGTAGTTCAAATACACGATATATGCTCAGATTTTTCTATGTTGAATGCTCAGATTTTTCTATGTTGAATGCTCAGATTTTATTTGCTTTGTAGTTCAAATACACGATATATGCTCAGATTTTTCCATGTTGAATGCTCAGATTTTTCTATGCTCAGATTATTGATTGGAATTTGGATATATGCTGAACTGTGGTTGTGATATATATTAATGTGCATTGTTATTTTATTTGTTAAGTAGGATGGACGGGTCTAGTAGCCAATCTAGTGCACATATGGTCTCGGTATTAGGGGCCGAAGAGGCCAACAATCTTCATAAATTTTAGGCTTTGTTTTTTTGCTTTTGGTTTGTAACTTAATTATTGAAACTTTGGCTTGGAACTAATTTTTTTGCTTTTGAGTTTGTTACTTTATTTATTTTAAAACCTTGACTTGTAACTAATATTTTTGCTTTTCGATTTGACATGTTGTACTTCACTATGGGCTGTTGAATATATTTGGCAAATTGCTTTAAAATAGATTTGTACACAGATTTGACATGTGTAGTAGAAATAAAATTGTTTTTTGTTGAATTAGGTTAAGCCCATATGGGCTGTTGAATTGAGTGACTATACAATTGGACATATTCATTACTAGGCTGGGTGGACAGATTTTGGGCATGGCCCAATATTGGCTTTTTGTCCAAAAGCCCAAAACCATTTCGGGATTCCCGATTTGTCCCGAAATCCCGAAACTATTTCGGGATTCCCCGAAAATTTGGTTTGAGATCGGTATTGAAATTGAGATTCCCGAAAATTTTGGTTTGGGAATCGGGACAAGGGTTTCGGTATGGGATCCCATACCGAACCACCCCTAGCGATTTGTGTGGCCTTGCTTTTTTAGCGATGATTTTTTGTGATCCTTAATTTCGAATTTCCCATCACCGATTTATTATGGAAGATTTGCACCATTGATTTCTATGTGTTCTTTGTTTATTGTGATTGCCTCATAGGAGTTTATTATGCTTACTTGTTGTGCGCTTATTCTTTCCATATCAAACATTTAGTCACCGAAATAGATAATCCAATTGACACCCTCTTCTAAACGTATTTTTATTATTAATAAGTTATCGTTATCGTTATCGCTTCGGTTAAAAATACTAAATGCTTTGAGAGCATCCTTATTCAACAAACCAAAATAATTGGATCTATTTTGTCACATCCCAGCGTGGATCACCACATTCCGGGTCCGTTCCATCACCGTAGCACGATATTGTCCACTTTGGGCTTACCATTTCCTCACGGTTTTGTTTTTGGGAACTCACGAGCAACTTCCCAGTGGGTTACCAATCCTGAGAGTGCTCTGACTTCCTTCTCGCTTAACTTCGGAGTTCCTATGAAACCGGAAGCCAATGAGGTTCCAAAAGACCTCGTGCTAGGTATAGATATGAATATATATTTAAGGATCACTTCCCTGAATGATGTGAGATGTTACATATTTAGTAACTGATCACGAGCCACGAGGTTCTGAAATTCAAATTGGAAAATAAAAGAGTATCAATACAACTTGCTATTTTCTAAAGGTTGCTTGCTATATTTGGATGTGATTTGTACTAACTACTATACAATATTGTGCAACGTTTTCGAAAATTTTCAGTCAATAAATTAATAACGTGGTCCTGGTTGACCATAAAAAATATATAATAATAATGATAATAATAACAACAGCAACGTGGTCCTTTTTCCCAGGTCCCGATCGACTGAGACCTTATAATTTACCGGAAAAATAATTGCACAAAAATACGGGCCGGATGATATGTTCCAAGTAATGATCCCAAACTAAATCCAGAGCCGGTCACGTTCATCGGTTGTTTCACTGTTTTATGTATTTAATTGCTATATGTTACAATGCTTCCTGTATAATATATGCAAAATAGTTAAATAAAATACTGAGGCAGTAAGATATATTCGTATAGGCGATTAATTAAAATCATTCAGATTTCAGAAACCGCTATTTTAATAGAGATATACCTGTTTTGGAAATTTTGTTAGATTAGATGTTAGATTAACCATCGATGAGGTTTGAACCCACGACGTCATGTAAGGGCTCAATACCTTTTCACCATTGGCTTTTGTTAATTGCATGTTGTTCTCTTTTGAACAGAGATTTGTAATATGCCCTAGCCACTATGTTCTTTGACTGAAACCCTACCAGTTTTTAGTTTTTCATCAAGATCCTTGATATTAATGTATTTATGTATTTTGTTATTATATTTTTTTAATTTAGTAATAAAATTTGTATTTGGTTATGTTAATGAGATTTTAAATAAAAGTGGTGATAAACCCACCCTATTGTCCTATCTTCGTCCTCTCTCTCCCTCGTCCTTCTCTCTCTTCATCCCTTCCTGTTTCTCTCTCTACTTCCGTCCCCCGTTTTTCTCTGTTCCCAAGGGAGATGCCACCAAGAAGGTGTCAAAGGTTTGGTTGCTGACGGGGGTGGGTGACGTTTTGAGGGTGTGGTGCGGCTGGGGTGATGAAATTCTGATAAATTAAAATAGAATGAGTTTATATATAAATTAGAGGACATTTTAGGAATAACAGTGGGTGAAGAAATAACATTTCAATTTTTTAACTTTTTATAGTGGGTCAAATTATAAGGTGGGTGGGGAAATAAAACAATGGGATGGGTCTAGTAGCACTCTTAAATAAACTCATTATTTGTGGGATTGAAAAGATTAAAGAATAAATTATACTCCTATTCCGTGGAAGAAAATTAAAAAACAATAGAAAATAATGTTTTGCCATAGAAAATATGTACATATATGAACATGGGTACATTCATCAAATTAACCTAAACATTATTATTGTAAATAAAACTTTTGGTAGAATCTTTAAACCCAAAACAATTCTAACTACAAAAAAATATGGGACACCTTGTTAGTTTTTAGTTTTTGATCGAAGTCCCTGACATTAATGTAATAATGTAAGTTACTATATTTTTTTTTAAATTAAAAATTAAAAATTGAAATTTGCAATTGTTTATATTAATGAGATTTTAAATAAAACCCATAATTTGTGGGATTAAAAGTAATAAAATATAAATTATACTCTCTATTATATATATGTCACACCCCGACTTGGAATGTCCAGCTGAACATTCGAATCACGATGTGATGGCCATCACCCGAAGGGTGACGAAGCCAAAAGATAAAAACGAAAAATAAAAACTTCTCTTATACAAGTAATTATTACAAAATCCTTATAGAGTGTACAAAAATAAAGAAAACTCTTAAATCCCTATCTAACCCAATCCCAGCTCGCTTAGCACCTGTCTTGTCAAATAACTTATTTATAAAATAAAAATGTGAGAGGTGAGCAACAACCACGTCGGTCAGTGAGTAGAATATGTAATACGCCAGTCAAGCGATGCCATTTTAGTCACTATAGAAAATACAATAATAATATCAAATCATTATGCACGTAGTGCCATATAATATCATCCCTTTACATGTTCATTATATCCTTCATAAATAGTAACTCATCACGTGCTCAGGTTTTAGCATTCGCATTTCCTATCTGCTGAGCAACCTTCAACCACCATTCCACTAGCCACCTCAGCAACCACCGAAATAATCATACTTAATTTAGTTTTTGTTACATACAATTGTATGAATATTTATTTTTAATTGAATATTCGAACAAACTGTATTGTATTTTTTAAACAATTGTCCGACGAATCTTTCGTCGAGCGAAATTTTTTATACCTAATTTATTTCCAGAAAGTAGATGAAATTGAGTCATCGAGCAAGCTACATTTGTTGGGCCTAGGGGTGGGTTCAAAAAACCGAAAACCGAAAAAAACCGAAAACCAAACCGGACCGAGGCCGAAAAAAACCGAACAAAAAAAAAACCGAACCGAACCGAATCTGGTCAGTTCGGTTTCGGTTTTTGAGGTTCGGAAACCGAACCGAACCGAACCGAACCAAACCGAACCGATATATATATTTCATTATTTTTTTCAATATTATAAATAGTTTAGTCATACAATCATAACAAAACAAAACCTGTTGCCAAGTTGGTTTCCGGGAAAATTTTCAAGTTGCAGCACAAGGGTTCGAACCCTCGCCTCCAACATTTCAGAAAAGTTTTTTAATTTTTTTGAGAAATCAACAAAACCCTTTAAGTTAACCCTAGCCACTAGCAGCCACACCTTTTATTCATTCCCCTCTTCTCTCTCTCGTTCCCTTCCCTGCCTCCAGTGTAACCCTAATCCAGTAACCTTCTCGCGCAGCCGAGCTTCATCTCTGTCTTTCTCAAACTCTCTGTCTCTCTTGGTCTTGAATCCCAGGCGACCCGCGACGGCGCGACCCTTCTCACTCTCAATCTCTCACACCTCGCCCTTGTCGTGAGCTTCTTCTTGCCGTTTCGAGCCCCAAAAATCAAACGCCGCGGCAAACAGGCGTTGAAAAATGGATGGGGGGAGTTCCGACGCTGCTTCCGACGCTGCAATCGAAACCCTATGAACCAGAGGATGGTGCTTTGGCGACCTCGAACAAGTGAAGGCGATGATCCTGATCCACTCCGCCTTGTCCGATGACACGCGTACTGTGGTGGATTCGGTGGAGTTGGAGCTCACCAACATGGACCTCAAATCCATCTCCTCTAGGTCCTTGCCCGACCCGCATACCATCCGAAATTCCTCTCACCTCGTCGGCCCCAAAGTCCTCCAGGTATTGACTCCTCACAAGTTTTTCTTTCTGTATGTTTACATATTCTTTTTTCTGTGTGTGTCGAACTGGTGGTTAAACATGAGATTTTTTTATAAAGTACATACTTATATCTGGTGGTTGGACTATGTGGTATTCAATTTTGTTCTGGATTCTCGAGGAAGGTAAACCTGTTTAGTAGCATACTGCTTTTATGTGACATATAGCTAAGATTTGTGCTGAAGCAATGTTGGTGAATCAGAAAAAGCTTTTGCAGTATGGTGCTAAATTTTTACTTTTACAGACAGTAATGATGATCTGATAAGGAAATTTTAGCACTTGCAAAGGAACATAGTGATAGTATAAGCATGAGCAACTCTTGTTGAAGTTTTCTGGTTTAAGAGACCAAGAAACGCTTTTAAATTCTGAAATCCTAGTCATTAACATTATGTAAATTAGTTAAAGTTTTCGTATTGAATTTGAATGCCATTTCCCTACTTGCCCCTGTTTTGGGATCAGAACTCACTTGTTCCAGGCTTGTACCGGTGATAGTCACTGGCACTGCATCAAAAGACAGGTATAGATTAGAAGCTATTAAGTTAAACTACGCTTTTTGTTTGATTTAGTTTGCACGGTAGGGCTGAGAATTTCTTCTTGTAGGGTACCAAACATCAAGTTCAATGTGGCTAAGGTGTTGCAGTCGATTATTCCGATAGTTGATCAATCGGTAAGTAATAGAGATCTTTCATTTGATAGTCCTTACGCAAAGGAGCATAATTTTCAAAATACAATACTGAAATCGAGTTAAAGCACTGAAAGCACTTATGCGTAACACGCTTTGCACAGGTGGTGGAGAAAACTATTCGTCCTTGTTTGCTTGAGCTTAGTGAGGACTCACACCTCAGTACAACATAAACCTGATGTTTATGCCCAAACAAATATCTATGACGAGCATTAGCGGTCACAATGGGCATGGTGTGTGTATGTTGTGTTGTGTTCTGTTGAATAACCGAAAAAAGGATGACTCTAAAGTGACTTTGAATGTAAACTTTCATATTTTCAATTTTTTTTAAATTTTTGGAGGAAGAAAAAAAAAAAAAAAAAACCGAAAAAAAACCGAAACCGAACAGAAAAATCCGAACCGAAAAAAAAACCGAAAAAATTTGAACCAAACTGAACCGAACCGAAATTTCTGTTCGGTTTCGGTTTTGGGAAAAAACTGAACCGTTGAGAACCGAACCCAGCCCTAATTGGGCCAAGACATTCAACACTCTTTAGCGCAACTACTTTATTTCGTCAGGTCAACTTTGGCTTATATTTCGTCGAGCAAATATTTAAGCAATAAGTTATGCGTGACAAACTTTGCCCAATGGAATGTTGTCGGGCAAACTTATAGAGGTGACGAAAAGGTCTTTAGGCCGACAAAAATAAATTTTTATTTTTATTTTTTAATTTTTTTAATTTTTTTAGTTGTAGTGGTTCTTCTTTTGTTTTAGTTATTCACTTAAATTTTGATATAAATAGTAAGCAGATCCAAGTTAAATGTCGGATAATGGTGGGGAATCAGATTCAGTAGGCAATGATATCTATTGTTTTAGTTATTCACTTAAATTTTGATATAAATAGTAAGCAGATCCAAGTTAAATGTCGGATAATGGCGGGGAATCAGATTCAGTAGGCAGTGATATCTATAGGTATCTTGTGGTTGGTTGAAGGTTTAATTCCAAATCGACGACTCATATTTGACAGTGACAAGCTTATCCAGCAATATAGAAGCTTCATGGGATCAACAACTGTTTGGCTGTCAGCATGAAAAGATTGCCTCGTGGACATGCCAAATAATGCAAGTTTTTGTTTTTTTTTGTTTTTTTTTCCTTTCTCTTCCGTTTTCTCTCTTTTCCAAATAATGGAAGCTAGTTTTCTTTTCTGTCCTTGCCTACCACTCAACGTTTGATTTGGACATATCAATGTTTTGCTCAACGAGATGAAAAATAATAAACTTCACCATAATTAAGTACACGTGGAAAATGCTTGCCCCAAAAATTTCTTTGTAGAGCGCTAAAAGAAAAAAAGATTCGGACAGAACCATATTATTAGGACTTAAAAATAATTTATTTTTATAATTTGAATTAATTGCATATAAAGATCATTGATCAATTTTTAATTTCAATGACCATTTTAATTAGGTGAGTCAATTTCAAAGATTATTTGTGATAAAAATCAGATGAAACCATCTTATTAGGATTCGGTCATGTCAGTCAATCAAATACAAAGTTAAGGTTAATTACTTGCATATTACACCTCTATTAGCCTATAATTGAACAAATCATTTTACACGAATTCCCTCTGTTTTTCACTGTGACGTGGACATTACATTGCGCCACATAATGAAAAAACACCGTCCATTCGTCAACTGCAAAGTGCCACTGTGCCAGGAATGCAAGGCTGGGGCGAACCGCTAGTTAACACAGCCACCGTAACCACATCTTTGTCTCATTTCTTCCACTATTCAATTCACCACTAAATATCGACCCTAGTGGCCCTGCCCTGTATTAAACCTGGTTATCATGCAGCATGGGGACAAGGACCAATTGAGTGATAAGGCGCGCATGGTTGGCCCTTTGTCAACAGGTATGTCTGGATATTTTGAGACCACATAGGTCATTCATGAGTTCAATTACAGATTTTGTGGGTGGAATGATAAGGATCGAAGTAGGTGAAACTTTATAGAATTCGTTCATGAAAGGGGGCAGAAGATTAGAATCCATGTCGATTATGACTTTAGAAGATTGGACTTGCAAAAAAATTGAAAACATATATGTGGATGCAAATTTCCGATGGTTTCTCCTTTAACGAAAATGCATCTGCAAAATAATAACACTTAAGATTAAGGTCAAAAGCCTCACGCACCCACAAAGAATGAGAGGGAGGTTTCCGAAGAATCTCTGATGCCAAAGTTAGAATTTGAGAGAAAATATGTTTGGAAAATTTTGGGGAGAGAATGACTTAGTTTTTTAGTGGGAGAATATGACTATTTATAAGGGGGTGACCGGCCCTATTTGGAAAATAAGGGCCGGCCATATATGATCAATTTGCAAGTGTAATTGCAAGATATTATGTGAAATAATATCTTGCAATTAAGTTGGCAATTAAACCTAAATTGAATAGGAAAATTAAGAGTTACATTTTGAATAAGGATTTGATGAGGAGTGATGAGAGAGATTTGACTAAATACCATTTTGATCACCTTTGACTCTTCCTTGATTGAGCTGTTAGTGTCCGTTGCATGTGCGTGAGAATCCTGGTGTGCCTTGAGGGTGATTTTGTCCGTTTTACCCAAAAGTCCACGTGTCATCTCCACAATTTTCTTGATTATTTTTGGCCCCACAAATGCCTCCACACCTATTAGGATGTTCGTAGGAAAGGGCAGCAACTGTAGAGATCTTCCATTGCTTTAGGAAACGTAAGGTTGTTTTCCTATTTTGATGTAGATTCCCACATTAATTGAAAATTAGATCTTTCTAGAAAAGGGAAATAAATCACTTCCAAAGTTTATTTAAGTCTACTTAAGTAGATGATTAAATCAGCTTCAGAGATCAATTTTTTTCCCTTACAAGAGAAAGAAAGCTAGAGGATATTTGTTCCCCATCCCTTAGCAATCTTCTACACTTGCCCGTGCAAAGGACTGTCTTGCGTTGATTTCTTCGTCTTCACGCCGCACCAAGGTAAGAACAAATTAAATTTTCCTTGTCTTTTAAATTTTGGGAGCCTCAGGGCTTAAAATTTAGCTCGACGGGGGTTAAGGATGTGTGAAAAAATGGTTGAAGAGCCCACGACATGGCTGCTGTTGGCTTGGTACGGCGGCAGCTCGGTGCGGGCCGAGGTCTGGGTGTAGCAGCATGGGTCGCGGAGACAAGCTAGGGCTCGGCTCGGGTCGGAACTTCTGAGCTTGGGCCGAGGGTATAAGGCGTTAAGGTGCTGATCGTTGGACCACTTGGCTTGGGCCCGTGAGGGAGAGATGAGAAAGAGGGGGGTAAGGGTGCCAGCCGGATTAGGCCGTGAGGCATTTTGGCCTAGAGAATGGCAGTGCCTGGTGCGCTGGGCCTCCTGGTGTGCTAGGCTGCCTGGCATGTTAGGTTGATAGGGAGAAATGGGAGTCTGATTCTTCCATTGAGCTACCATTCCAATTATTTTCATCACCGGTAAGTAGACTACTTAATCTTTAGGTTGCGTTATGCTTTTTCTAAGCTATTATCTGATTTGTTGATTGTCCTCCTCCGCTTATGTAGATTCGAAATTCGGCTCAACTCCCAAGACTTCTCCATATATGAAGAAAATGCATGTTGCTTTAGGTATCCTCGCGGAGTACCGTGAATGGAGTTGGTTGTTTAGTCCTCTTCGCCAGGAGAAATGTGGGCTACATTTGAGAGAGGAGATAAAATGGATCAAGGTGGAGGCATTAGCTCATCCGATTGCTGTCGTAGAGCCTACTGTGGACTAAGGTAGAAAGAAGAGATCTTCCCCGCCTGCGCAAAAGATGCCGGTTGAGAAAAAATTGAAGACTTCCTCCATTGCTCATGAGGGTTTGCCACTTGTGATTGGCTTAACTTTTTCCAAATGGAAGAAAGATGAGGCTGCTAGATCTGAGCCGGTGACGCTTGTTATGCCAAAAATTGTTGAAATCTGTGCATTTTTTAAGCCATTGTGCCAAGCTTGTTGATGGCGTTAGAAAGGTTATTTGCCAAAGTTCCTTAGCGAAGCATACATCCCAATATAGAAAGACTACTCTGCTTGCCATGATGCAAAAAATGGCTATTTTGACAATCGAGTCTATGATCCTTGACCAAGAGGATACCAAAGCTACCAAGGAGATGGCAAAAACTATGGCAGCTGAAGCTTATTCCTTTGAAGGGGTTTAATATATCTGCCCCCACTTCTTTGTAACTTGAGACCGTTCGCCAAGAGATCGTTGACTTAAAGACTAGGCTTGACGTGATCCAAGTTAAATATGAAGGTGCAGAGAAAGAGATTTGATGTTACATACCTCAGATTCAAGATCTTGAGTGTGTTGTTTCTGAGCTTCATTCCACTACTTACGCAAAGGATGATAAGTTAATTGTTGCTTATAACCAAGTGATCCACTTCAAGAAGATCGTTGATAGGCTTAAACCCTATATGTTTGAACTCCAAGGTGTGCTAAAGATCAACGAAAGTTTGAAGAAAGAAGTGGATGAGCTGCAGCGCATCTATGTTGGTTTACTCAAGGAGAACGAGTAGTTAAAAGGTTAGAAGGTTGGCTTGAGGCTTTGCTTGTTCAAAGTCAGGCCGATTTCTACAAGCTGGGTTATGTAGATCATTTCCTTGGTAGACCGTTTAACTTTGAGTTTGCTAGGAAATACTTCAAGACATTTTCTATTTCTTCAGAAGACTTGTTGGCCTTTACTTTTGAGGCTCCATTGGTGAAGTAGTCGGAAACGTTGATGCCCAAGCTGGAGCAGCCAGGGGTGAAGTGCTGGATGATGTTGCTGCTAAGAGCGTCACAACTGCTGAAGGTGTGGTGGCCAAGTAGTGGTGGGATGTCCAAGCTGCTGAAGGGTAGTCTTCTAGGTAGCCTTTTAGGATTTTCTTTGTTTTCCTTGTTACTTTGTTTTGCTTGAACTCATTCGGCCTTTGCTATTTGTTTATCAATTTTGCTAGAAAATTTAATAAACTTGCTTCCTTTGCTTTTTTTCATCTTCGCTTCTTTTGTTTATGCCCAACCTTTTACCTTTAGACTAGCGGCATGCGTGGTATTTTTCTATAAGCAGACAGGCCCGCGTAGCCTATGCAGCCTCAATTGTTGGTGTAGAACTTTTGCAAAGTTGTTAGCCATAGGGTCTGTAGCCGAATGCATTATTTACAGAAGCAGACGAGTCTGCGTGACCACTTGGATGTTAACCTTGGCTTTCTTTAATCATTTGAGTTATGTTGCCCGCATCATAACATACTAAAGATTTTTGGGCCATGAAATTCGCTAACCTTTCATATTAA